AAATAATACTAAAAATATCATAGCTTACTTATCAAAATACTCATTAAAGAAACTAAATATTTTTTGTAAATTTTCTTCTTCTCTTTACAAATAAAAACAAAATATTCTATAAGTATATATATATATATATATATATACAAGAAATATTTACATTAAAGTAGAATAGAATTTGGGTGTGGTCAAAAATTAGGTGTTCACAGCATGCCCCTTTTTGCTTGAAAACATGAAGAGTTTTCAGGGCAAGAAAATGAACAAGGTGACTGATTTTTGACCTCACTATTATTTAAAAAGGAAAAGAAGAGAAAAGAAAAAGATGTGACTGAGCCTTGGTTTAAGGCAGCCTACATATCCCGGGTTATAAGGGAATCAGGTCACGTGTAGTTCAAGTGAAAGAAGAGTGATAGAGTATTCTCAGAAGGAGAGTCGAGCGAAGGTCCGTCGAGGTTCCGATTCGCGGTTCCTGCTATTACATCAAAATAAAAATAAAATTACATACTCTTGAAATCTAAGAGTTACAAAATTCCTATCTAAATTCCATCTGGAGTCTTATCTTGATTCTTGACTTGCTTCTCCCATTGACTTTAGACTGAAACTTGATGCCCTTGTTGCAACAGACTATGAAATATTCTCGCATGCTTATTTCCTGATTAGATGATGGGAAGATGGATCTTGACCATATATCTTCGCATGCATTATGTCAAAGCTGGTTCGGCTGGTATTGAGATCAAACGTTCCACTTTCTCTGGCAAGAGCTGGAATCTTTTTTTTTTTTTTTTGCACATCCAATCCGTGCTTTGCAGAAAAACCTACAAGCCATCACAAACAAACAAAACGAACAAAAAAAATTCTGCCCCAGTTTGCACTAGGAAATTTTTGTGAGTTATTGAAAACACATTAAACTATCATTGTTATTGCAGAATGAAGAATTAAAAAAAAACATGCGTTTTTTAAAATAATAGGGGATGGCGTACCCTGTGTTAACAAGAAGGAAGGCAACCAGGGGATGTAGTACCCTGTGTTGACGATAAGATAAGGCTCCTGGCACTCTGAGATTCTACTAGGAGATGTCGTACCCTATGTAGGTAGAAAGTAATGCGACTAAGGGATGTAGTACCATGTGACAGCTATAGCGACTCTGCTGGGGAATACAAATTAGAATTCGAGCTTATTTATATTGATTCTTGTTTGGCTTTTATCATGTTTTGGATATTATTGTGTTTGGGAGCCTAATGTGCTATTTGTCGCTTATTTACCACTTTAATATTTATTTGAACTGTGATATAAATGGTATCCTCTCTCGCACCCCTCTGAGTCTTCTGATAGGTAGTTATGTTGTGTTTGCCTACCAGCATCACAAAATTTTTGTCTTGAGATAAAGCCAGTTAGCCTACCAGCTTCTGGTGAAGGATTTAGTCACACATGTTTAGGCGGGAGAGCCGTTAGCTAGCCAGTGCAGTTCTACTACTGGTGACGCTTAACGCTCATTGGCTCGGGTTGTCCACCCGGGTAAGCCAGGTCTAGATACCATCTCCTTTAGGTTTTGAAAACTTAGAAGAACAAGCCACAAGCAATGAATATCCCTAGTAGGCTACGCTTTATTTGCATCATGTGCATTGGACATAGCGGGGCTTGGCACAGGGGACGGGAGATCTATTCATTGATAAGAAAAAGAAAAAACGTGAACGGGGATTGGATTGATGATAAAATAGAATCCTGGGTCGCGAAGGCCCGTCTAGGACAGGTACCAATTTTTCGGACCAACATGTTCATCTTTATGTGCTATATGTAACATTATTTGGTAGGCTTCACTCAAATGTTGACCGGCTTTAGGATAGATTGATTGTACAGAGGAGAGAGAGAAAGAAAATTTTCCCCAAGTTTTCATGATGTACCCATTTTTTTATATAAAATTTTGAAGGGTTTTTAAAATTACAATTTTCAAAATAGTTTTTTTTAGTTATTTTAACAAAACTACGCGGGTCTGATTCTCACCGGATGTGAGATACGTAGGCAAACCTCATCGGTTCCGGCCCTCAATTTTCAAAAATTCAAAATTATTTTTCTTTAATTCCTTCTTTAGAAGTTTTTGTTTGAGACATCAAATTTAAAAATCTAAAAATATTTTCTTTCTTATTTAGAAGTCCTTATTAAAAAAAGAAAAAAAAGAAGTTCAAAACCCAAAAATCTTTTCTTATTTTTAGAAGTTTTAATAGTCTGAATTCACATAAGAAAAGAAAAGAAAAAAAATTAGTTTAGTTTACTTGAGTTCCGATCTCCCGGAACTACGCAAGATCTGATTCATGTCTCCGCATGATACGTAGGCAACCTACATCAGGTTCGATCGAGTCATTTGAAAACAAAAAAAGAGGGAAAAAAAGAGAGAATAAAGTGGTGAAAAAAAAAAGAAAAAGAAGAAGAGAGAGTGTTTATTCTAACATGCTTGGTGTTTTGAAATAAAAGCTAATTGAAGGTGGTCGGTTTGTTGGTTTGCAATGGCCAGTCACGCAAACAATCCAAGATCCCTCGGAAGTAAAAGCATCTTCTCAACAAATGGAACAAGCACCACTGTTGTTGATCCAAGGTCACGAAAGGTAAGTAGGCAAGTTGACGGTGAAAAATAAAAAATGAAGGTAAATGTGGGGTTGACTTTACTAGATTTGAGCAATAGGACGTGGCCTGCTCGGGATGATTTGATGATGGGGAATTTGATCCAGCATTGAAAGCCATAGTAGCCATTGCCGCGGCAGAAGAGAAACAAAAAACGGGCGTCAACCCAGAAACTTTCCCTATCAGACGGGAGTTTCGGTAGCCGGTCTTGCTATCTTTTCTGCCTTTCGAGTTATTTCAGTGTGTCATCCAAATGTTTTTACTTTACTGTCTTACATTCTGATGTAAACCCTTCTATTTTTTTTAAAAATATTCAAATAAATGAAATCAATATTTCATCATCCATGAATGTCTCTTTTCTTAATCTTGTCACCTTTCTTATTCTCTTTTCAAGTTCTGTAAATGCAGATTTTAATAACATGACATGCTTGCAGACATCATGCCCAGATCCTAAAACGCTATCAGATTTCGAAATAATGAACCAAGAAGCATAATGTGTTGAAGATAAGGCTTGTAAGAAAATAAACAAAGAATTGAAACAAAAATGAGATTTCCTCTCTTCGGATCATTGTTGAAGCCGAGATCGCTGATGAAGATTAAGTCAAGACCCGATTGAAACATTGTCTTTGATTGATGGAAAGTGATTGGCCGGAGGCTACCATGGGCAGTTGTACAACAAAGAATGGCCCATGCTTACAACAAAAAGTACGTCCCAAGAAATTTGAAGTGGGACAACTCGTCTTGAGACATATTCTCCC